TGTGACTCTCACTCTCACCTGTGACTCTCCCCTGTGACTCTCACTCTCACCTATGACTCTCACCTGTGACTCTCACTCTCACCTGTGACTCTCATCTGTGACTCTCACCTGTGACTCTTACCTGTGACTCTCACCTGTGACTCTCACCTGTGACTCTCACCTGTGACTCTCACCTGTAATTCTCACCTGTGACTCTCACCTGTGACTCTCACTCTCACCTGTGACTCTCACCTGTGACTCTCACCTGTGACTCTCATCTGTGACTCTCACCTGTGACTCTCACCTGTGACTCTCACCTGTGACTCTCACTCTCACCTGTGACTCTCAACTGTGACTCTCACCTGTGACTCTCACTCTCACCTGTGACTCTCACTCTCACCTGTGACTCTAACTCTCACCTGTGACTCTCACTCTCACCTGTGACTCTCACCTGTGACTCTCACTCTCATCTGTGACTCTCACCTGTGACTCTCACCTGTGACTCTCACCTGTGACTCTCACCTGTGACTCTCACTCTCACCTGTGACTCTCACTCTCACCTGTGACTCTCACCTGTGACTCTCACCTGTGACTCTCACTCTCACCTGTGACTCTCACTCTCACCTGTGACTCTCACCTGTGACTCTCACCTGTGACTCTCACCTGTGACTCTCACCTGTGACTCTCATCTGTGACTCTCACCTGTGACTCATCTGTAACTCTCACCTGTGACTCTCACCTGTGACTCTCACCTGTGACTCTCACTCTCACCTGTGGCTCTCACCTGTGACCCTCACTCTCACCTGTGACTCTCACCTGTGACTCTCACTCTCACCTGTGACTCTCACCTGTAATTCTCACCTGTGGTTCTCAACTGTGGATCTCTGGCTCTTAGCTGCCTTATTTGTATCACATAACATATGGGTTTTAAAATTGTTCTTCTCACCTGTCTAACAGCACCTGCTTGTGGCCCCTGAAAGCATGCTCTATTATATGGGAAGGAAATACGCACAGTTTGGCAAACAAATGGCGGGGAACACCTGTTACCTCCCTAAGAGAGTAGGCAAGGACAGTCCTGAGGCCAAGAATAGCAACAGTATGTCCCACTGTGTCACCAACCTGAGTGTAACTACCAGGGATCCACAGGAGGTAGGTGGGCCTGTGGGCAGGCTGTTGGGAAGACAGGGGAAGCAAAGGATGGAGGCAGGGGAGGCAGGGAGGGGAGGAGGGAGGGAGGGAGGGCATTGTTCTAGTCCCTGTAGACATGAGGTTGCGAAGAATATTTTTTCTTCAGAATTCCATTTCATGGGAAAGACAGCAATGGAAACAAACAATTGTAAGACAATAACAAGATGCAGCTTATGTACACAAGACACGGCATTGGAGCCCAAAGAAAGAAACAGTCAACTAAGCAAAAATAGGATAACTTCACAAGTTCCGAAATAGGCCAGTGTTGGCGTGGGCGACTAAAAAATTAACATCGTATCTAATAGAAACAAAATTCTAAAGAAGTGGAAAAAGAAGAGTAGCAGGTAGAAGAAAAAAAGAAATGGATCTAAGTCAATTGCTTGTCCTGGAGTTGAGGAAAAAGTGTTCTAGTCTTTACCTCCATTACTGAGGTCCTTGTATTTGATTTTCATGGTTTTTAGCCTTATTGCATCTACCCAAACATGTGAATTTCTATTTCTGAGAGTATGTATGACTGCTAGAATACACACACACACACACACACACACACACACACACACACACACACACACACACTGAGAGAGAGAGAGACAGGGAGGATGTTGGTTCAAATATACAGATGCACAAATAAATGTTGCTTACAGGAAGATAGCTCCTTGCTTTTGGAAATACTATTTGTGATGCTAATTCTTAACTTTGACAATAAAATGTCACCTTCCAAGCAATCTCCTAATAGCAGTAGAAGTGAAGCACAGAGCACTTAGCAAAATGAAGATGTTAATACAAATACATCCTCAGCGTACTCTTAAGGCGTGCCGTAATAACGTTCTCTCGGCTGGAGACATAAAGAGGGAATTGAGGCATTTCCATTTAGCTAAAGTAGCAAGTGTGGGAGACTGCCAGCTTGGAAACCCAATTTAAATGTCTGTTGGCTTTGTTGTAAGCACGCAACCTCGGGAACATAAAACTCACATCAATTTGGCCAGAATTTATTATTTCTCTCGGAAGCAACTGTTGGTGCTCACTAGTTTTCCCAAGTCTCATCTTCATCATCTCCAACTTTAGCATCTCTTTGTGTCCCTGGGATCGTATGCTGCCTAGGATCTACGTGCGGGACACTGGTGTCCCCTCTGTGCCCGCTGCTCATTCACGGGAGCAACTGTGCATTCGGAGAAGGCAGCGAGACACAACGACCTGCTCTAGACACTGCGACCACACTTAACCCGGGACACCTTCTCCCTGATTATACTCGAGACTCGTCCTGGTGGGCATTTGCTATACACACCACGCCCCCAACACGTTCAAAAGGCATATTCCTGATGTCATCGTTGTCCGTCAATCTACAGTGGCACTGAAATCCTAAATGCATCTCTGTAATATACTCCAGTCCCATGGTCAGAATTTTTTCCATGCCAGAGTTCCACTTGTGCCGTCTTAGTTACCTCTCTGCTGCTGAGATGGACACACCACACTAAGGAAGCTTAAGGAGGGCTTGGGCTCCAGTTCCAGAGGGGACACAGTCCATCCTGGCAGGAGGCAGACAGGAGTGAGACACCAGCTGGTCACATTGTATCCACCCTCAGAAACCAAACAGTGAGCAAGATGCATCTTCTAAAGGCTCTGTGACCTTCCCAGGCAGAACCACCCTCTGGGGACCAGGTGTTCAAACACCTTGGCCCACTGGCAGGCAGGGAGGGGGCATGTTTCTCACTCGAACCACAATAAATACGGACATTTACTTGGAATTTCACCTCTGCACACACACCCTTCCGTCCATTCCGTATAAGTCCCTGGTCGCTGTTTCTGATGCGTTTCTCTTATTTCGGTGTCAATGAGTGTAGCTTCTACAGGTACTTCCAGCCTTCACTGGAGATGCAGGTGGGATGCTGTCAGCCCTGCCCTGCTCTGAGGGTGCGGGAGTCCTGGCCTTTGGTCTGAGCCCTTTGCTGTAGAATGTAGACTTTTGGTACAAATTCCCAATCAACATGCTTTTCTCATTGCTTATGTAAAAACACTGCCCCCCCCCACAAAAGGGGATCTTTAAGGAGAAAAAGAGCTAGGAAGGCAGGTCGGTAAAAGATCAGTTTCCCAGGATACGCACGGTCCCAAATGAAACATCAAACAAAACAAAATCTTCATTAAGCAGGTTGAGCAATGGCTCAATCCCAAAGAGTATGAGTCACAAATGCTGAAGAGAAAATCACGGATCAGCTGAAAGTCAAAAGGCATGCAAGCTACTTGACATTCAGCAGAAGCTGACGGAAGCGTAATTAGCGGGAGGTTGTTGGGTTTTTGTTTTTTGTTTTTTGTTTTTTTTTTTCCTGATCAGATGCTACAGTGAAAATAAAAGATTTGTTTGCAGTGGTGACAGTTACGCTGTGTCCTCTATATTATTTAATATTTGAAGAAGAGAGGTGAGCACTAAACAAACAATGGACAAGGCCTAGGAACGTGTCCAGTTACGGTCGTATCCTGATTCCAGAGCTCCGACAGCACGCTGGCTTTGTCGTGTAAGGGAGTCTTTTTCCCAAGGCAAGGTTAACCAGGGTAGTGGTGCTGTGTTTCCAGGCCACATAAGCTGATCTAAACTCTGATGTGCTCTTAGGCATCAGTAACCCGCTTCCTTTTTAATTGTTTGTATGTATTGTATGTGCATTGGCGTTTTGCCTGCATGTGTGTCTGTGTGAGGGTGTCAGATCCCCTGGAACAGGAGCTGCAGACAGTTGTGAGCTGCCATGTGGCTGCTAAGAATTGAACCCGGGTTCCTCTGGAAGAGCAGCCAGTGCTCTTAACTGCTGAGCCATCTCTCCAGCCCCAGCAACCCAGTGCTAAAGTGTGGGAATGCTAACAAAAATTGTCATTCATTGAGCACATACACAGTACCCATCGTGTGGATTACAATCCACCATCATTATTACCTCAGCCTGAGAGACAATGATTACAATCCTCCCACTGACGAGCAAATAATTTTCAAACACTGAAGCAGTCGTCTCCAAGTGTGTTAACAATATGCATCTATTTGTAAAAATTTCCCTGTAAGTTGTTGGTTCAACTTAGAGTCAACAGCAACCACACGCAGTGGGCATGTCATCTGTCCCAGCATCCCCTGTGATACGTGGTCGGGATGAGAAGTGAATCATTGACACCCACACGGTGCAAGGACTCGGCAGCCCTCAAGGGCGTGCGTGGACTCACCTAGTGCAAGGACTCTGCAGCCCTCAAGGGCGTGCGTGGACTCACCTAGTGCAAGGGCTCTACAGCCCTCAAGGGCGTGCGTGGACTCACCTATATCCATGCACTCTCTTTACAAGAGTCCTGCTAGGCAAACTTTCAGGTCTTACTTTTTAATAACTCTTTTCATCATTTTGAATATGCTTGGCCAAAGACCAACATTGCTCTCAACTTTGGGCTATACTTTCAGTACTTTTACACTTTCGTTCCTCTATAAACCAGAGCTTTCATAGCACGGGACAGATTTCCCTTAAGGAAGGAATAGCATTGGCCCCTGAAGAAAGTTACTTTTTTTACCCAGTGAGTGGTTTTGGGAGGGTGCAGCCCACCTGGGGACGTGGCTTCATGGGCCACATTGCTTGTCTGTTCCCAGGAACCACTGCAGGGAACCCCAGTTGTGGGAGGGAGGCATCCTCCATCCCCGGCGTGGGGTGTCAGGTAGGAAGGACAGAGCCATTGCAGGCATTTCGGGGCACTCTGGGTGACACCGGGAACGCATAACCAGGGTTCCACTTGTCCTTAGGTAGCAGGCAGGCAGGAAGACGAATGTTTAACACAAAGGTCAAAGAACAAGAGAGGCTTGGCTGGAGCGGGCTGGTTACCTGTGTCACTCATTAAGGTAAGAGGCTGTCTCCTCAGAAGGCCTGGACTGAATCACCGCAAACTTGAGTTGCTTAGAAAGGGGTCTGCGATAAAAACAAGCACGAAAATGGTTATCGGATGCCGGTGATTGTCACTCAAAGAGAAACAACCTCTTAGGAAGACACCCACCACTGTCTCTGACTTGTGTATGTTTCCTACAGCCCCGGGGATTGGCAAAGGCCACACTGTGGGCATCTGCTGCTGTCTCTGCAGGAGCAGCCTCTATTATGGAGCTGGAACCACCCGGTGCCAGGCGGCCCAGCTCATCCTGGCCTCATCCCAGCAACTCACGCCTCACAGGGCACCTGTGAGCGCGCCCCCCCTTCGTGAGCGTGCCCTCACCTTCGTGCCCCCCCCTTTCACCTGCACTGACGACACTAATTGTAAATCTTGCTTGCACCCTGACATTAGCACGTTAATTGGCGTGAGTGGCATTTACTTTTGACTACAGATTCTTATTTGTTTATTTTTTTGGGGGGTGCATGTGTTTCCTTCGATTTTGAGGAAGGTTGGGTTTTTTTTTCCTATTCCATCGAGCTTATGCTAATTATATATGAGTTTGTGGTGTTTCCATACACGGAAGTCATGGAACCAGGGCCGGAACTTTTGTTCTTTTCCTTTCGGCCCTTTCTATTTCCTACATGCATCATCTTTTAGCTTCCTATCTTGACATGGTTTCAGAAAAGCCACAGAAACAGCCTGATACTCCTAGTCAGTTCTCCCCGCCAGCATTCTAGGACCTTCCGCAACATAGGGTGGCCATCCGGAGTGCCTGCTGGGGCTGTTCTAACACGACTGAAAGTCTGTGTCTCATTTGTTGCTCCATACACTTAGCATGGCAGCGTAAACATTTGCATCACATTTTAAACTCTTCAGAACCACCCGGGGCTCAGCAGTTAAGGGTGCACACTGCTCCCGCAGGGGACCCAAGTTCAGTTCCCAGCACCACACTGGGTGGCTCCCAGCCTTCTGTAACTTCAGCTCAGTATCTACTGCCCGCTTCTGGCCTCCACGGGCACTACACCCTCGTGCACACACCCACACAGAGACACACCAACACACATTAAAAATAAAGAAACTCAGGGTGTATGTCACTTAACGATTCCTATGGTATTAGATGAGGCAGTTTCAAGAATTTTGTTGTTGTTGTTGAAAACACTCAGTCATAATTAAAAATTTTGCTGTTGTTGTCGAGAATACTCATTGGTAACTTTTATGAAATCTAATTTCACAGGCCAGAAATGGGCTGTTTTATCAGCTACTGAAGGTGAGTGCTTTTCTGCTTACAGGCTATTTTTGCTTCTTCTTCTATAGACTGTTCATGGGGTCCCATATGAACATGGTATAAGCTTGTGTAAACCATGATATCAGCCCCACTGAGCTTTAGAATAAGAGTTGATACTTTGTGTTTGATATTTGCCTTTGACTGTTTTGCTGTCATTTCAATAATACAAACCAATTGCGGCAATTGAAAGCAAAACATCTCTTTTTTTTTTTTTGGTAGCGGCTTGCAAATTGTGAGAAGTTTTTATGAGACTATGACTCCTCCCCTCAACTCAGTGCTCTCAAACTGAGACCTGCCAAACGAGGTGCTCAAAGATGGGACTCGCAGGGATTCTAAGAGCTTCTGTCCTTAAAACAGGGGCTGTCTCCTTCAAGTGGGATCAGAACTGCAGCAGGGGCTGGCGAGGTGGCCCCCTGAGTAAACAGCACTCGCTGCACACGCCTGATAACCCGCATTCAATCCCTGCCACCCGCAGCAGGAGAGAAGTGATTCCAGAAACTTGTCCTTTGGACTCCACACAAGCGCCATGGCACGCATGTGTCCGTAAGTACATACACATACCCAGTAAATAAACAACTAAGTAAGGAGGAGTCTCATTTGTAACAGTGATCGCAAGCCATAACCAATTGGAGCAGTTCCCCCAAAGGCCAGTTTGTACCATACGCACTCCAGTGTTATCTTTACACTGCTCCAATGTCTTACGGGTTTATGTAACTAAACCAGAATCTTACTCGTTTTCTGTTGTCTCACATTCAAAGTAAGAAGGCTGGGTTATGCTTTTGTGGCATAAAACAGCTCACGAGTCCCCTTGGGCCCCAAGTTCTCATCTGCACCTGCTTCAGCTTGATAATCCCTTTGCACAGAACCCCCCTCTCCCCATCCCTCCACATCACCCGCTGGAAAGGCCCCGCCTACTGCCATACTACACTGTCCCCAAATTTGTCCTGATTGTTGTATCCCTGCTATCTTTTCCTGAGTCCGCCTGATCACAGCGTCCTGCCTATCTGTCCCAACTGTCACCCTTCCCAGCTGCCAATAACCTGAAACCAGGGGCTCCAACGTCCGCCTAGCCAGCTGCCTGACACGCCGCTGAACCCTGTTAACGTTTACGAGAGAAACTGTCCACACAGCGCATCACCCACTGGGAGAGTTACACCAAGCAAAACCGTGTGTTTTACAAATTAAACCGCTAGCTAATGCAGTGAGCTCTGTTGGCAGTTTCCTGCATCATGATGACTCAGGCCACAGAGAACACCGTCCTCGGGCAGGAGGTTAACAGCCGAGTTTTTATATTGGAATAATTTGAAACTCGCAGAATAGTTGGAAAATGTTGTGGCTTAAACTTTCACGTCTCTCAAATTTAATTGCCATTTCAACAGTTGCAAGGGGCGGGTGAGACACGGCGCTCTGGCCTCGTGTGAATGGACGATGCTATTATTTTCAGAGTGAGAGCCTTACAAAAAGGTTGAGTCATCCCCTCCCCCGCCCCCAGTCTATTTCTTCATTCTCCTCCATGTAGTGATTTCTGCATGTCCTAACATGAAAAAGGTGGTGAGACACTAGAGCCTCCATCTGGACTTCACGGCCTTTCAGAGCTGCGTGTCGGGGAGTCTCAGATCCTTGTCAGTGAAGCAGCTGTGGCAGCCACCACAGGCCTCTCAGTCACATTCAGCACAAGTTAATCACTTCCGCTACATGCGGTTACTCCCTTGCTACGCTGAGCATGTACGTCCAAATGCACGGCAACTGAAACACAGTACACTCAGGCACATACAGACACTAGTATGCACGCCACACTGACCCACAGGCATGCGCTGAAAGCATTAGCACATACGCATGAATAAAAGCGCGCACTGCACAGAACACCCCATGAGATAACCCGCAGCTACTTCCGGGACTGGGTTTTACCCACATATACTTCATTTCCTGAGGACGAGGGCGTTCTCGTGTGTAACACAGGACACTTGTCTAGCCCAGGACGTCATGCAATACACATATGCCGTGCACAGCCCGTGTCCGTGTGTCTGGGGTCATTCCAGTCAGAGCTTTCTCTGGCCTCGCTGTAGGCTTACACACGATACGCAGCTGTCATGCCTTCTTAACCTCTGGCATCTGGGGTAGCCTTTCACACTCCACTTTACATAATGCTGGAAATTTTTCAAAGCCGCCAGGTAGTTATTTTGAAGAATGTTCCTTTTGTCCTGATCTCTACCGGATTTTATTCAAGCAACGTGTTTTCAGTGAGAGTACCACATAAATAAGGTTAAATGTTTCTCAGCTCTTGACCACAAGTTTTCCTGCCACTGAGGTTACAAACTTTGACCCGCCCACAAGGTTTCACTGCTCAGGTTTCTCCACTGTAAAGTAACCGGTTTTCCCCTTTTAATAAGCAATCTTTGGTGCATCCTTCCAGAACATGTAAATATGCTATTCCTCAAATTAGCATCTCTCAGTCGTTCTGTGTCAGTATTTCCAAAATGGCGGCTGTCAGCCTCCCGTGCTCCATCCACACCTATCACTCGATACAACCCCTCAGCTTGTGACTTTATCCACTGTGCATCAATATCTGAGGCTCTGTAAGGAAGTATAAACTGTTTTTAAACGTCATCACATTCTTTACTCAGTTTTGCATTAGAGACGTTGCATGCTAAGAACCCGAGGGCTCACACATCCTATTGCCCAACTTAATCATTTTTCTGCTTCTCACAGCTTTGATAGAAACACCTAACCTAAGACCAGACCTGCCTTACTGCAATACTAGCTACCAAGTCCTGAAAACTGACTCCTGCTGTGAGTCTTGATAGCATGCCCGTCTTAGTTGGGGTTTCTACTGCTGTGAAGAAACACCAAGACCAAACATCAAGCTGGGGGAGGAAAGGGTTTGTTTGGCTCACACTTCCACCATCACTGTCCGCTCAAGCAGGAACGGAACCTGGAGACAGGAGCTGCTGCAGAAGCCAGCTTACTGGCTTTCTTACAGGACCCAGGACCACCAGCCCAGGGATGATGTCACCCACGATGGGCTGGGCCCTCCCTCCCTTCTCAATCACTACTTTAAAAATGCCCTACAGGCTTGCCTACAGCCCCACCTTATGGAGGTATTTTCTTAATCGAGGCTCCCTCCTCTCAGATGACCTTAATTCGTGTTGGGTTGACATAAAACTCTCTAGCATGGTGCCTCTATCTCATTTTGTTGTTGTTGTTTCATAATGTCTCAAAGAATAAAGAAAACTTAGACTAATTCCATAATTTGGGGGCCACTAGTACAATTTCACGTGCAGGTAAGAATCAAAATCCTCGGTGAGTGACTGACCTTATGACTTTAATGAAAGAAGCTCTGCTGACCTCCTGAAGTTGAGACCTTTTGTTTTATTATTAAGCAACCACTACATTGCTTAGTAATTTAGGCTATTGCCTACTAATATTATGGAAACATTTCTAAAGCACTCATTTCTGAAGTTCCATTTTTAGTTACTGGTCCCAAACACCATTTCACCACGTCAAACAACCAAGCAGAAAGTGGCCTTCCATCTACAGACGGTCAATGAAAACTCACACTTCAGTAAACCATCCACCAGCGAGATCAAGAAATGGCCGGCGCCGACGGGACACAGGACGAAAACATACTTGGAAACTATAGCTTCGCGGGTCACAGATCTTCAGAGCGAGAAAAGGCCACGGCGATTACATGCAGCTGAGCGCTGTCCCTTTGCAAATGAAGACAGTGACGCAGGGAGGCATGGCATAATTGGAGCCCAG